TACTATACAAAACTTTCAGATTTAAAATCATCCTATTCTTCTGTTACAATGGCATTCAAAGAAATACATTTTATTGCTTTGAGGAAAGAGACACCCATAGTGCACAACTGGATTCGTATAACAAAGGAAGTTAAGATTCCAGCACAGATACACCATGACTGGCTATCAATTACACACTGGTGGTAGTAAATAATAAGGCATGTAGGTTATAGAAGACCAAATGATCAAAGCTATAAAGTCAGTGTATGTGTTTGTGTGTATGTATAGTAAAACCCTGTATCTAGTAATATAAAAGAAAAGAAATATTGGTTTTTAATTCCAAACTTTCTTAACAGCTTTTCTCATAAAATCATGAATTTCATAAAACACAATGGGTTTTGGTGGGATTGATTTTTTATTCTATTATAACAGCTCAGACATTTATACCAATGTTTAAGCAAGTCAATATAGCAGTTAAATTTAATTTATTATACTGGTCTTGTGCTGCAAGTTATTTTAAAGTATTCAACTAAAACATAATACACATCGATACTAACTATGATATTTCGAAGTCACGTTCTTACTTGTTTGTATCATGTAATTGTTTGCAATTTACTCAAAACTTTTTTGGAAAACCCATTCTGTAACCAATCACAAGTGCAGTAGAAAGTCTTCTATAGTAACAAATGAGGACCTTTTACAGAGGGTGGCATACCGTTTCTTAGCTAGCCCAGCAAGGTCAATATGCTCAAGAAGCAGGAATTTGCTAAATAATCATGCTTCATATTCTAAAGCAACATAACTTTCATTCTCATAAGTTATACACATTCCTAAACTGGCATGTGGAGTTCTGTGAATGGTTCATGGTGCAGGAGGAACTGGATGAACACATCAGCTTGAAAGTATTTTGTACAGGTGTGACAACATTTTAGATCAACAATGCAATTACTGAGCATAACTGTCAACACTAGGTTGCATGAATTCATGACCAGAAGCAGGTTTGGTGTAACTTGACAGCAACATGGTGACTGTACATTTGTGAAACATAACAGAGGACATTTGATTCCAGCACTATTCACTAGATGTCACTTTTTCTGACAAATGGATAGGATGTCAGGGCCTAGTGGCATGGTCTGCACACTGTTATTACTTTACACCATTATATACACACACATACACAAATATGTGTGTGGGTCATCCAACAATTAGTGATTGTCACATATTAATATAACCTGGAAACTTGAAACAGAGAATTACAACAGCCATAACTCCACAAGTGCTACAAAACTTCAACTGCAACGTAAGTGAAAGTAACAATGCTAAGAAGAACCATGGTGAAGAATAACTTGATCACAAAATTCCAACAAATACTTATGATCATCAATAAATAAAGATGCACTTATGAACACTAAAAGTCATAATTTCTCTAACGTGATATTTCAGAGTGGAAGATTCAATTTACCGAAAAGATATTCTCATACATGTAATACATAAGAGACAATAACTTTAGATAAGCTTAAAATGCCTCAATACTTCACTAGCATAAACATGTTATATCAACACGATTTTATTTTAACTAGATAATTTTTAAGAATTTAATAAACTTTAAAAACCCATAACAGACAAAAAAAATAAAAAAATATTGCTAAAATAATCTGAAGTAGTTTAAATTTTCCATACCATTTTTAAATGCAAGAAACTCAAAGACACTGTGAAATAAAGAAACTATAATGGTTATGCCTAGTAAGTATGGGGATGTCTCTAAAAATGTTTCTTTCATGGTGTCTTGTTCCTCATCAGATTCTTCCATCAAATTTTGACCCAAGACAGATGTCCAGCGAGACCTCATGGTTTGAGCAGCATATAACTGCCAGCGAAACAGGGACAATGGTTGGTAAGTAAGACGCAATGAAAGATATCTAGAAAAATAAAAACTATTTTATAGCAATATAACTAGGATACACTATCAGCTAAATAAAGAAATGACTAATAAATAATGAAGAATTCCTAAAAAATTTTTAAGAACATTTTCTTCATAAATGGATACTTTCATCATACAGTTCTTAAAAAAGCACAAATCAGAATGATGGAAATTATAAGATACAGATTTATCTATTTTGAAATCATGATTCTTATGGCCTGATTCATATAAATTCCCACTTTTCTGAACATTTATTTTTCAACATATCAAATCATCCTATACTAAAATAAATTTAAGCTAAAAACTTTTATTTCTTTAGTTTTTAATATATGCACTTTACAGAAACATCACTGATATAATAATAATTTCATAAACTATATAATAAAATTGACAAGAGAGCAGATTCGTGATCTCCCTTTAACAAAATAACTAACATCTTTCAATTTTCATCCTAATAATTATAAAAATGAGTGGCTGAGTGAAACAAAAATCCCCTATTAAAATTCATAGGCTTCATTCATAACCTCTCTATCTTACATTAATTCCTTTAGTTACTGCAGTTATAGATAGTTCCCACATCCACTCTTAGTTCTTTGTCCATTTCTGACCACAGTGATACTTTTATTTTATTGACAAACAAACCATTTATTAATGTATATTTGGAGAGAAAGGATTATCTTAATTGTACAATGTAGACCAGCTGGAGAAGTATCAGATATATAATGCAACTTGGAGAAGGAAGGGAACTGATTTGGCAATTTCAATTTTCATAATTTATTTAAAAAAAAAAACTCACCTACTCTGATGTTTTATCAGTGTTTATTGCAACTTTCAATATAACCAATCCTGAGAATAATTGTTTTACACTTATATTGAGCTTTACATATTTAAATATTACTTCTTTATGGGTAAACAGGAAAAAGGAAGGCATTATATGTATTGTTTTGACATGTCATTTCAGAGCTTTCTCATTGCTCCCACTAAATTTAGTAAAACTATTATTAAGTTTCTTTTATTGAACTATGTATTTTAATTATTAAAACATAAAACTGTACCTTAGTGATTAATTACATTTTACAAAACAAACATATCTTTTAAATTACATTTTGTAAATTGCAGCTTTAGAAACAAAAATAATTTACACTTACTGGAAAAATAATGAGTAAGCAAAGAAAGAAGCACAAAGATTCACGTTACTTGTAGAATAGAAACGTTGTAAAACGTTCACCTGCTGCTTATGTATCAGATGTAAAAGACAGCAAATATATGGCATACAGTTTTTTAAAGATGTCTCAGATAAAAAACTCAGTTATTTAATGGTATAATATTTAAATATTGTGAAACAATAATTTTTTTAAGGAAAATGTTCTATTATTAAAAAATAAACTGAAAGATGATGGCTATAATGACATGCAATTAAAGAAATACCTTACTTTATTTTTTAATAAATACAAAAATATTTTAGAAACTAACCTATCAACTAAGGAAAATATCTTATAAATAAAATATAATAAAGAAGGAGTCAGTTACTTTAGCTTATAAGTAGCTAATAGTAATTTTTCAATTAATTTTATTCAGTATAACTGGGACAGAAAGACTAACTTCAAGAAACTTGGCTTCTCTTGGCATTCCCGAGTTATACTTGAATAAATCTTTAAGGAGAAAGGGAGGAGGTTGGGAGTTGGAACTATACAAGAACTTTTAAGATAGGGTGTATAGTTCTATTTATTATTTTATAGTTCTGTTTAGTTTTATACAATATCTTATAGTTCTGTTCATTATTTCATAGTTCTATTTAATATTTTTTTGTAAGGGTGGAGGTTGAGAGTTTAATTAGTAGAAATATTAGGGTGGCTTCATTTCAATTCATTTCTACTTTAAGAAATTTAAGGGTAACTGCCTTCACTATAGACAGTGAAAAGCAGTAGAAGCTGAGACATTGTGGGTGTAAGCACTCAGCTTCATACCCTAATTTGTTTGATTTTTTTTATGATTTTTCATGACGGCTAACTAGATTGATATCAACATTTGGATTCTGTCTGATAGACGGGATATCCCCAATGCATATGGGTGCTATTACCACAGACATTATCTGTTATGACAATAAGTTGACAACCAGGACCGATTACAATATTGCTAAATATATATATATATATATATATA